CATAAAACACCCGATGTAGAAGTTCTACCAACTTTAAAAGGAGTAGATGATCAGCATTTATGTTATTCTTTGTTTTCGGGAATTTTTAGGATGATATGTATGATCTATAAAAAATTAGGGACGTTCGGATACTTATGACCGCTACTGTAAACTTGGAGTTAATCTCGACCCAGATATTTTTATAGAATTTAAATAAGGACTTTGCGCCGGCCAAAACATAAATTAAAATGATCTACTTTAGGTGCATAATTTTCAAGTTGCAGATATTTACGTATAGTTTTTGGGACGGATATGCACATGTATTATTGAAAATGTTAGGGTTCTATTTCAGAAAACAGACCAACCAACTGCTAACGAACTCAACTATACGTTAGGAAGTTTTTGAAATTATAGAACAGCACATTAAATGTGTTGCTATACAAACTCTGGTTTACACTTTTAATTAGTTAAATTAAATTAGTGAACAACATGATATGCATTAAACAATACAGTTGATATAAGTATTAAACAATTTATTATTCAAATATTTAATTTTGACATTGAGTCCTTATAAAAATAATCAGGAAAAATCTGGTTTATTTAGTTCTGAAAAACCACAGGTTTAGTTATAAAATTTTCGTAATAAATCTGATAAAAAACGGGGAAAATAAAAAATTTATTCAGTAATTACATGTTATCTCAAATTCACCAATCCAATCCGAACAAAAAATATACCATTTGATCCGCCATGACTTGACAAATCGAATGGTAATATTATTGGACTCGTGAATATTATGATATTATGCACCAACGTTACTGGAAAAATTTTCTTATTTTCCCATTTTTAAAATGGATTAATATCTCATAACCCACTTAACCAAATTTGATAAAAATAAAGTCACATATTACTGAAATTTAGTGAAATTAGGCCTGGTGGGTTATGTTTCAAATTAAGTGTTCCAAATTAAAATAAGCTTTTTTTCAAAAAATCAGCAACTTTGAAACATGATACCTTAAGAATCGCCAGACCATTTTTGTAAAAATTACTACCATTAATCCACCAAAAACTAGGTGAATTTAATGAGTGTGTTTAGAAATAATGCATTCATTTTAATTTTGAGCAAAAAAAATTTAAAAATTGATACAGTATCTTTGAGATGTGATATCTCGTGTTCCACAGGTTCAACCCGGATGAGAATACCACCATTCGATTTGTCAAAATTAGAATGGTGTAATTTTTTTTTTGTCTGGACTGATTTTGTGGTTCACGAGATATCGCATCCCCGTTTTTTCCGTTTTCATCTGATTTTAATCAGGAAATTTTATAACTAAACCCGTGGTTTTTCGAAACTAAAAAACAAAATTTTTTGCCTGATTATTTTTTTTACAGTGAATAGTACACAATTTCAACAATTTCATTGGTGAAGAATGAGGTACTTGGATACTGTAGACAGTGCACTATGGTAACTTTAAATGCATATAAATTTATGTAGAATTTTTTTAAAAATCTGACCAGTAACTTGATTAAAGCTCTGTTCGGGTCGGTCGGATCGGGTTTGATCCAAAAATCGTAAAATAGTTTTTGAATTAAATTTTCGTTTAATTCCAATTAATCTTGAACGAGAAATAACGATTTTTAGGCTGACCCGAAATGTGCGTTCCGGGTCGGATCACGGATTGGACCCGACCCTGTTGGAGCACTAAACTTGATAGAGTTTATCACAAAGGATAATATCACTTTTATTGTTGAGTTTAGATCATAGTAAATTGATTTAGCTATAAATTCGTGACCTCTTTTTCTTTTATCGCCTCTGTATTATCTTTCAAATATCATTCAGTTAAGTGTCCTGCACTATGGAAAGGTTTTCTAACTTAGAGGCTAGAATAGAAAGCAGATCTGTAGATTCTATTTTATATATTTCTATTTTTGACAGATAATCGAATTCTCAAAAACTGAATTTCACATTACATAATGTTTATAACATATGCATTACTTCAGACATTGAAACAAACCAAATTCTTACACATCTGTCTCTTCTGGGAGGTTAAAGAAACTATCCTGATTCACATTTAATTGATCTGATGAAATTCCTTAAAAGAAACGATATTTAGTAATTACTATTTACGCAATGTTTCATAATTCATCAATCACCTTCACTCTTGTTTTTTAAGCCACAATATATTAGATGCTGGAAAGCTCCATCGAACTAAATATCCTAATTTAGTACTGGTATGTTCGTGTTGAGATGGAACACTCAATATAATCTGACGTGTTTGAGTTAAAAATAAAGTTAAAATCTACATTTGGTTGCTATCGGGAAATGCCTCGGTGATTTTGTTTTTAAAAACTTCTCTCTCTTGTTCGCTAGCTCCTTGATATAGATTAATAATAATGTTGTTTAATTCGCCTATTTGTGAATGTACGTACTATGTACATACATGTAATTAGTGTTTATCATTATCCTTACTCAATATTCTAATTTCAAATAACGCTCTTTTTAGAATACGGAAATTGTATCACTAAGAATCTAGTAATAGAATCGATTCTACTACATGTATTCCACGAATTATTTTGATTAATTAAATGTTCTTTTATCATATTGCTTCTTACTAAAAAGTTCATTGAATCTATAGAATACAATCTATTTTTTGATGTTCTCCATAAAATTAATTTGATTTCAGTATTTTAAATAATACAATCATACTTCATTATAGAAACATGGTTGGGCCAGAAATCAAGTAATTCTTCTTATAAATTGATAGTATTTAATATATTTTGTTCTCAAAATTGTGGTTTTATATGGTAGTAGTCGTGCTTATACCGAGTTTTACCAGTGTTCTCAAATGATCTGGAGTTTTCTGAAAACACTGAGAAATCTAATTCTCTACACTGATCCGAATTATATTATTACTGATAAGTAAATTATGTAAATAATTAATAAAAACTTGTTCAATACTGATGAAAGACCAATGCACTTTTGATAACAACATAAATTCTATCTTTGTGTACATGTACTAGAAATTCCCACTTTCATTCTACTAGAAATGTCCAATTTAATTTATAACAGTAATACAGATAAAAATTTCCATCTCGCCCATAAATTCGGAACATCGATATGGAACTCCACGTATCGGAGATGCACATATCGATCATTCAATGTTTTTAGTGATTAGAGTCAATGATTTCCCAACCCGATGAACCCCATTATATATAATTCGAAAGAGGACTTTATAAGGAAATATGAATAATTACTATTCAAAAGAAATATCTTTTAATCTTTTGTTGAAATAATTCTGTTGTTTTTGTAGGATTGAATGTAATTTATTTTGAAACAAATTTTTGTGATCTGCTTCAGCGCATCTTTAAATAAACGGCCTTTTGTTTTATAAAGATTATAAGTTTTCTGTGACACATGCTTAAGAAATTATATTTTTAGTTAAAATAGACAAATTAAAATCTTCAAATATTAGAAAATTAAATTAAAGTTTTTAAATTAACGCCATAACCAGTGTTGGGCACTGGAATACGTATACTGTATCTAATTTTTTGCAATCGTTAGCTGGTCATTGGAACAGTCCAACTGATCACTGGGCTTAATAAATTGGACACCAACTATCTTCTTAACGTTAATTAATTAGAACGTAAATTTAAAATTTATTTGTTAGAATATTATTCTAATGGAATAAAGTTTCTAAATAAGGTACATGTATAATGATAACTTTGAAACATACAATTTATTGTAAATGTAGTGACTGGATTTTTTAGTCCAGAGATGTTTTGTGGATTGTTCCATAAAGAAAAAAATTACTGCTCGTAACTCTGTAGATTCATTAGCGTCATACTAAAAAAGGCGAATAGGAGTTATCGTTATAAAGACAGAATAAGGAGGTTAAAGTCATTGTACAACTAAAGATTGCAGCATCTCATACCACAACTGTGTTGCAATCTATAACTAAAACATCAATAAAAAGAGGTTATACGACCAAATACAGTTTTTTGTGAAACTTGTGTTACAGAGACGGAGTTTTGCGACCGAGGAATTTGACTCAACGTTATAGTGAAAACAGAGCGTAGCGGTAGTGGAAGTGGGATTGCAAACGAAATTAGGGACGAGACTACATCTAAAATATGAATTGATTTATCAGAGCTTTAATGTGTTAAAGCACTCAAGTGAATTCCATTTAAGAAAGCGATTAAATATTTATACATGTACATGTATTAAGTGCATGCATTCTGTGTACGTACATGTACTGATAACGATAATTCAAATTGATCACAACTACTTTTTTGGAAAATGAACAATGAATATAGAAATCGATATACGTACATGTACGTATATATACAGTACGCATACAAGCTCTACAGCAGCTTATGAATTTAAACTCGAATTGTTAAAAAACATTACGATAATATAAATTCAAGAGAATGAATTGTGATAACGATGAAGGTAATTTTGTGCCAAGTGACGACGTTTCCAGCATATCGGCGGGAAGAACAAGACTTTTAGGAACTTTTGCTGGTATTGGGAATAATTGCAATAACATGATTGGTGCTGGAATATTTTCAAGTCCCGGTCTAGTCTTAAATGAAATTCAGTCTCCTGGAATAGCATTAATTTTATGGGCAGTGGGTGGAATTGCCGCATTATTCGGATCGCTTTCTTATGTCGAGGTATTTATTTTTTATTTATGTTTAATATCACTTTGTTTCAATCTAATTTTAGCATCATAATTTTTAATTCATGATAGTTAGGAAGTTCTATACCAGATGGAGGAGGAGAAACTGTGTATTTGGAACAAGCATACCCTCGTCCAAAAGCACTATTTAGTTATATGTTTAGTTTTGCCATGATTGTGGTAATACAACCAGCTTATATATCCGCTATAGCAAATGTTTTCGCACAATATTTCTTATATTTCATTAAAGCGAAAGGGCGTTGTGACATTGATTATCTGCATCCAAAGGAATACATTACTGATTGGAATTTTTGGTAAGTATCACTATATGGGATTCACACTCCTAAACTATTCTAAATTTAAAAATTCCTGTCATTAGGCAATTACGACTTTGTTCGTTAGCTGCAGTAGTTATAATCACAATTTACCACATTCTATCCAACAAATGGGCAAACCGTATAAATCAAACTCTCACAATTATAAAGATGTTAACACTGCTTGCAATATCGATTATTGGACTTGCAACAATTCCTCAGGTTATTAACGATAAAGATACGAATTGGAAAAATATGTTTCCTAGAGATGTAAATATTAGTGCACGCTCTTTGACTGCTGCACTTATTCCTATTTTATTTTCATATGGTGGCTGGAATAATTTAAATTGTAAGTAATAAAATTTTTTATATACGTTTCAGTAAACTCGGATATTTAAATCTTTTTATCCTTAGATACTTTGGATGAATTCGTCAATCCACAACAAAAATTGTTCACGTCAAATAGTATTAGTGTCTGTGTTGTTACTTTTTTGTGTATGTATTCTTTACTGTATTATTTTTCTGTGTAGGTATTCTTTATGCGAACGGAAATATGTTGTTGATATTTTCTTAAATTCAATGTTAACATATTTGATTTTTATATATTAGACCTTTGTGCTAATATCGCATATACGAATGTACCATTATCAACAATAACCGGCAATAATGAACCTTCAGAAATCATTGCTGGCCAATTCGCTCTCCAAGTCGGCGGTTTTAATTTAGCTCGTGCATTATCTTTTTTCGTCTGCCTATCAGCGTTTGGCGTATTGGCCGCAAGCATATGGGTTGGATCGCGAATAATTGTAGCCGCTGCTAAAAGAGATTATATCCCTTTCTCATCAAGATTCGAAAAATGGAATGAAAGTACAGATACTCCGATTTTTGCATTGGTATAAAAATATATTTTTATTCTTAAACATTTATTTTCTTTGATCTCTTAATCATAAACAATTAATTATTTTCAGATCACACAAGCAATTTGGTCTTCATTGATTATTATCTTTTATCCACATAATGATCCATTTAAATTTTTTGTTAGTTTGGGTGAGTACTGCATGTGGGTATTTCTGTTTCTGACTGTTTTGGGATTATTGGTAAGTTTTTTTATATTAATTGGTATTTTATCGAGACTTTCAATGAGTTAAAAATTCTAATTATAATATTTTTAGTTTCTGCGCTATTCTAAACCCAATCTATTTCGTCCATTCAGAGTGTATACCCCAATACCCATAATATTTATTATGTTCACAATATTTATTATAATTGGGTCTTTCGTAAACGATTCATCAAAAATACCTCATGAGAACCAACAAAAACTCAACGACGACATGTGTGATAGTTCCAAAAACTTCAAATATGCAGCATATGAATATTACCTTCCTTATGTCATAAGTTTGGTTGTAATAGGAGTTGGTGCGATTTGTTGGTACTTGTTAAATCAGTTTAGATACGATATACGAACAGTACGCAGTCGATTTATTTCGGAGAAGCTAGAATTGGAGACAAATCTTAGGTCTTGATAAATCGAAATTCCGTTATTCATATAGCAGAATTTGGAATTTATAAACGGATACAGATATAACGATAACAATAAGTCTTAAATTCATCCAAATATCAACGTATCAGTATTATGAGCAACATACAATATATACCTTTAATAAGTGTTTCAGCCATTAATCTTTCTAATTATGTGATGTGTTTATTTCAGTTTGAAATTAATAATAGCGTTATTGATGTCTTCCTTCACCTGAATTCATGCTTGTAACTTTATCGCAATGATAAAAAAAAGTTATATAGAGCTGTATTAGGATTTTGCTTGGTACAAGTGACTCTCGTTATAATAAAGGCATCCGTACCATTAGTAAAAAATCTTCAAAAATTTACTATATCGAAAGTTTATTAGTAAATTTACTATAACGAGAGGATTTAGTATAGACTGGTTTACTATATCGATATCAAGAGTTTAATTAGTCTTTACTATAACGAGAGTTTACTATAACGAGAGCCAAATGCCAATTAGCAAAAAGTATACTTTTAATAAGTATGCGAAAAGAGGTTATAACTAATTCTTTTTTTTTAAAAAAGAAAGATTAAATAATAACCAGAAAAATGGTTATGTTTTACCCTCTTTTGCGGAAACTCGGATTTTGTTTTTGCTTTAATCTTTTTTCTTTCTGTCACTTGTATAACGATAATCCAATTATTAAAAAACAAACTCTGATTAAATGATATGATTTTTTATTAATTGCTCTAAAACTTATATAATAATATGAATCAAATTTCCACATTTGAAAATAAAATGGTTTGCAGATTGAATAAATAAATTTGTTCTTGTTTATTTTATTTTAAATTTTCAATAAGTTTTATAAAATAGCGCTATGGCATTGTTATGCGGGACACCAGATTTAATAGTAGTGGGGACTGAAAACATTAAAAATTTTGGAACCCACAACCATAACCCTATACGCTTAGTAAATGGGGACTATGAGTGCTATAACGCACATGCGATAAAAGACACAGTGACTTTCTTTATAGTGTACCCCCGTTATGGTGAATAATATTCAAAACTCCTCTAATAAAATCCACTCGATATAGTAGATTTACTAATAATTTCAAAAACTCTCGATATAGTGGAGAATTTTTTTGCTAGAACATGTAACTTTTTCTGATACACTATAAAGAGATTTACTGTGTATAAAATCATAAAATTAATTTCGCGCCAAAAACTTGAATATTTAAATGCTAAAAATGTAAAATTTATATATACACGTATTTCTGACAACTGAAGCCACTAATTATATAATTTAGCATGTATTTTAATTAATTTTTTATTGTTAATAATTATTATATTATTAATAAGTTTTTATGGAATTATATACTAATAGATTTGTATAGTACTTTCAAATATAAGTATTTATTTAATCAATGCAAAGTGTAATATACATTTTTGATACAAAATTATTGACTACTAAATTACAGTCAATATAGTTAATTACAGTTAATTATAATCAATCAAGTATGATCAAGTAAGAGTAAAATTAGAAAATTTCTAATAATTATAATAAATTCGGATCAATTATATTAAATTCGGATCATATATGAACACAAATTTCTCGTGACATCAATTCATATCGCATCTTACCTGTGTCCACTAAAGCACGAATGTCCTCCAGAGTACCAGTTTCGAATTCAAATTGATATATACTACCTGAGAAATAATAAAATTCCATGATATTTGTTTATAGAAAGGCGATTTATAAGAATGTGTATTTTTTCGTGGACAGACAGATGAGAAGGTAGCTTGCAAACGAACTTTATACATGTAATACATGTGCATGCAAAAAATTGTGAACACACATGATGACTTCTTATTTTTTTATAGGCAGACAGTTGAAGTTAACTAGCAACAACACACAAAATGAATTTTTTTTAGAAACATTATATGTAATGCACAAGAGCGAAATCCAAAAAAATGAAATGTATATAATAAATTTTCTTAAGAAGACTTCGATTTTAAGAATTTGGTTCTTTCTTCATCATGTACAAACCATAATTTAATTTTTAGAATTCCGAGTGCAAAACCTCTTAAGTCGACAATATCAATTTCTTAACTATGTATTCCTTACTTGTTGAAGATGCAATATTCCTTTCTTGTAAGAAGAACACAGTTCTGTTAATTTGTTATATTCCTCACTTGTTGAAGACTAATATTCCTTTCTCGTTGCCTTCGTAATACATGTATCACCATCTAAATGATAATCGAAAAGATAACGATAAGATCTATTTATGTAATCTGTATCTGTCTTTGAAAAATAATTATATTTTTCAAGTGGAAGGAGTACATGATAATGATAAAGATACGTGGATCATTGAAATGTTTTGAAATTTCTAGTCACAAAATAAAATGATGACTTGCTAGATACAAAAATCATTTTATTTATGGAAAATATTAAATATGAATCCAAGAATTTATTTAAAATGACCATCAACCTCAAGAAAAAGATAAATACTGGCTTATCTATATGAACGAGGACTAGGAATTTAATCTGAAAACGAAAGCGTTCCAATGGTATCATAAAATAGATGATTCAATTGCAATGCAAAAAATCGGAATTTATTATGATGAAAGTATTGATATCAACTATGACCCCATAAAAGCCAAATTTTAGTCTGGTACAAAAAAGCTGCAGAAGCTGGAATGCTGCGATCACAACTTAAGCTTGCAAACACTATATTTATGGTATGGATAATAATAAATGTCTTCAGATTGAAGGCTTATATTGGCTTGAGAAGGTAGCTAATGCAGCTAATGCAGGTGTTGTTTGCGGGATGAATTTACTTGCCAATGCATATTCTCTATGTATTAAAATAATTATTGCCAGAAAACATACTACTCTAAGCCTCCTATATCTGTATTCTGCAATGTTTTATGTTATTATTCCCTTAGTCATGGAAACGAACAGCTTTTTCTCCAATTGAAAAGCACCTTAAAATTTTCGTTTTCTTGAACACATACGTAGTTCTATCAGCTATTACATGTATTTTCTGTTTATATTTATATATTTTCTCTAATTGTTACACGCAGCGAAACGCATCACAGATTCTGCAACTTTGTTAACAAAAATTCATGTTAATATTTTTAAAAAAATAATTATTTCAATTGAAATGCAATAATCAACATCACAAAAAAATACCATATCGATATTTAGATAAAATGTTAAAATTAATTGGCATTTGTATCACTGTTTTGCACTCAATTCTGAGTGCCATTTCCTCGGAGAAGCTTAAATACCAACTATAGTACTTTAAGTAGTTAGATCCTGTTTGCGTATTAAGTAATTATCAAGATAAACTTGTCATTTACAGAGGGTGTTCAAAATATTGTGTACACTTTATTTAAAAATTTATATACTATATATTTTTGGATTCTTGAGAACTTTGTGATTCAAAAGAACCAAAAAAAACACAAAATCTATGCACTAGTTCTTGAGAAATGTTGATTTTTATAAAATTATATTTTTTTGAGCAAGCCAAAAATGCTTATTTTAATAGTAAAGATTACTATTAATATAATAGAATAATTATAAATTGCTAATTTTTCAAAATTGTATACAACACATATATACACATTCTATATATTACCAGAACAGAAATTTATATTGATCATTTAATTAATTAACTCGTATATAAAAAATTTTATCGTATTTATTAAAAAAACAAAAAATTTAATAAAAAACTGTCGAATATATAGTTATATTGGTTCAAATTTGAAACCTACAAATTAATAGAATGTACTTTTTCCATTGGTTTCAATAATCTTGTCTACGCATCTAGATAGACTTAAAATTAATTCACGCAAAGTTTCTAGATCAATACTTATCCATTCCTTTTGTAATATATTAATTAATTTTTGCTTTGATATAGGCAAGGTTTCCTTTTTTGAAGTTGATGATTCAAAATATCCTACAGATATTTGATTAATTGTGATTAGAACTTTGATCAACTCAATTTAAAATATTATGTGTTGATATTCACCAAGTCATATAGAATAAGATGTCTCATTTTGCTAAAATATAGTTTGAATATTGACGAAACCAAAATATAAAGTAATTAAAAAAAAATATTAATGTAAATATCCAAATTTATAATTTCTTTTACTAGTACTAAAAGATTAACTCTATGTTTTCCAGATTATTGTCATATAGTTATCTAATTCTAAAATGCAAATTTGAACTTATTAGACCAAATAATATTTTTCATTACATTTTCTAATTATGTTTATCCTAACACTAATTTAATCAATGAAGTTCTTGAGCTGAAGTTAAAAGATATTTTTTCTTGGAATATAATATTTGAATTCTATTTTGTCTAAGAATTTGTGAATGATTTAGAATAATAGATAATGTTAAGTTTGTCATTTAGTTTATTTGTAATTTCACCAAGTGAAGAGAATTAATTTTTTAAAAAAATTCATTTTAATATATATTTTTCAAAATTGGTTAGAGTTTTTGGTCAATCAGAATGCTTTTCAAAATGTGAGTTAGTTTTTTATAATATTTAATGGTATTATAAACTATTGCTTGAGAAATTTTGAGTTTAAGTGAAATATTTAGATCTTTGATATCAGTGAGATATATACTCTCTTTATTTATTAATCAATTTTTTTCATGTATTTTGAAAAAGAAGAAAAAATAATTTATTTGATTATTTATATTTATTATGAATAATGTTAATAAAATTGGCTTTTAAACTTTAATTAGCATTTTATATGATTAATTTCTGGTAATATATTATAAAAGTATACATATTATTTATATCTTATAATTAATAATTTATATTATAAATTAATATTTAATTTATTCAAATAATCTTCAGCTTGATTATAATTTTATAAAAATTAATATTTTTTAAGAATTTCTTGCATAAATTTTTGTGTTTTTTGATTCTTTTACTGTGTCTGATAAAAGTATTTTCATATTAATAATTTATAATTAATTATATATAGATTTCTAAAATTTTA